TGCAGACCAATAATATTGATAAAAAGACCAAGTTTTTTTTATTACACTCATTCATTGGTATGTGTTGAGATCAAATAAATGCATAGTTAGTATGTTGCAATGAAATCAACTCCATGGGCAAGGTTACAATAATTTTACTATGTTCTAGCAATGCAACAACTTTGCTCAGGCTTTTAATAAAAAATAACTATTTTCTGCCATAATACTAGTATTTCTAGTATTTCTTGTAAATGTATTTCTTGTAATTAATATAACCAGACATTTTAGGCAATAGCCTTTACACTGAAGAAGAACCATTACTTGAAATGTGTGGTTATATTGAATAACTGCCCAAACTACATAATACCATTGTCTTTGCATTATGCACATATTTGTTTTCGTATTCAATTTAAGATGGCCAAAAACGTGATCAGCTTAGTTCTAAAAATATATCAAAATCTGGCATATCTGTATTTCATAAACAAGTTTTTTGTTATGCATGGACAGATTTTCTTTAAACTTTGTGCAAACATTGAATATAGCTTGATGCACATGAATTTGCAGGTTAGATTATGTTGTGGCCATTTTGTTATAACAATTGCAGTTCTATATCCATGTCTCTAACATCATGTTTTTGACCCATGTGCTTTATGCATTTATTTTGAAATGCATGGAAATCAGAAATATCATAAATGTATTTTAGGCAATAATAAACAAATTTTTTTCGTACATTGGTACATTTTACAGATTAGATTCAAAGTGGCTGACTGGTGGACATTTTTTTTCCATAACTCTGACGTGCCTTGACCACTCATGCGTAATTTCACACATATGTTAAACACATATACACATGCAATTTGTTTCAGGATTTGATTTAACATGAACGAATTGCACCCATTTTAGTGCTAAAATGCAACAAAATCAAGCATTTCTGCCATTCCAAGACCAAATATTTGTCATGCATGGACAGATTTTATTTAAAACTTGGTATATGCATCAAAACATGTCTACTATTCATTCTGTACATCTTTTTGTTTACAAATCGCATTCAAATGGATAACTGGCAGCCATGTTTATTAAATAATTTAGCTCTGGATCCATACATGTGTATCTGAGGCATACATTGAATGATTGCAATCAATTTTACAAATATGTGTGTATTAACAACGTTGTACACATTTACAGGCATTCATGTTTTGTTTTGAAATAATTTGTTTCAGTTTTGTATACTATTAATTATGATTTATTTTTTAATTTCTCCAAAATCTGGTAAATTTAACAACTACAAAATATTAAATGATGTATTTGCTTATGACTTTCATCTTTATCTGCAGTGCTGGTATTGGTCGAACCGGATCATTTATATCCATTGATTCTATGCTGAAAATGGCCAATGCTGAGGGATGTATTGATGTCTTCAACTTTGTGAAAAGAGGAAGAGAAAACAGAATGAACTTTGTTCAAACAGCAGTAAGTTTTCTCAATGTGTGTAATAGTGATCATAATTAATGTCACAATGTTTCACTATCTGTCACTACAATTACCATGTTGTCAATATATCTTAAGCATTTAAAGCGAAAGTGCCGTCACCTGTGCACGTAAGGAAATTGAGTCCCAAGCGAGGATATCAACACACTAAAAACGCAAAGGCTCATGGGTGGACGCTTGTTTGTAAATAATGACACGCTATGGCCATCTGACGCATGCGCAGGTGACGACTTCTCCACTTTAACATATGATATGTTTATAACATATGACTAACTGTGCAAAAAAATTGATTTTGGATGAAAAGTTGCATAATATAATTTTGGCAATATTACCAGTGTTACATTGTATATTGTGGTCTCAATTCTATTTAAATTAGCAAACCACTAGCTGGTACTAGGATACAGTGGTTTTGAATATTATGTTTTGATTCCCATATGTGAAATGAGTAGAATACATGTATAAGCTCATTTTATGTGTATGTGATACAAGTATCAACTGTCATATGATGTATTAGTGTTTGGCACAGCGTGGTGCATGGCAATTTTATATTCGTAATGTTGTGTTCTTGAAATGTATAACACTCAGTAATTTTGCATTCACAATGAAGTTCAGACTTTTATGGATACCTATATTTACATATACTGCTTGCAAAGCTTACAATTACAAATTATACTAAAAAGCATTAAATATAAAACTTATTTTAACAGCATAATTCTCTGACACTATTCTTTTTAATGATTCCTTTCTCTTCTTGCAAATAATGCAGTAATTAATATTCTGCTTTACTTACTGCTTTGTATCATTACTGACTTGAGTGGAC